CTGCGACGGAGAAGCAGGAAGTCCGCGTGCCCCTGGGGGGAGCCTGGCGTAGCCCAGGTGAGGCCAGGAGGGACTGGCCGCACCCAGGCGTGCACAGCGGGCTGTCCCTGACCGGGAGCCCAGCGCAGTGAGGGTCGGGATCGGGGGCAGGACCTTGTGAGGGCTGCTCTGAGCGGCTGGTGTCCACAGCCAGGCGAGCGACTGTGTCCTTCACTAGGCCACTGATCGAGGGTCTGGGCGCAGAGGCTGACGGTGGCTCCACCGCACGGTCCTGCTTCCCCGAGTCCAATTTGTCGTTGGCCTCCGTCCTCAAAAGGAAGAACATTTGAGTGTCACGATGTTCAAAGTTGTTGACACATGCCGGGAGGCCCAGCACTGACCTCGGAGCAGGCGCGGCCCCTCCTGGCACCACCTCTGGGGACAGGGATGTAACCTGTTGTAGACACCTCTGAGCTGGGCCCGGGTCCCTGCCGCCCGGCGGCTGAGGGGCCTGGGGACAGTGGGGCGCCCAGAGGCGTGCTGGGGCAGCCGGCTGCCCACCGAGGCTCGCCTCTCACCTCCAGGCCTCCCGGTGCTGTGACCGCTCTGCCTCTTCTGCTGTCATCAGGGGGCTTTGTCCGTTTTGTGACATTTTAATGGTCTCTGGGCGTCTCACCGGGCTGAGCGGCGTCTCAGGCACGGCACTGCTCCAATCCCTCGCGAGGCAGGACCCCGGTCCCCCACGTGGCTGGCTCTCAGACAGCCTCGTGCTCATCCCACGAGTGGGCCGTGGCTGACGCCGAGCCTGCCGCTCTGTGTGACGCCGGGAAAGCAGAGCCGTGGGGTGTGACGCAGGCTCTGCCAGGCTCATGGCCCACATCTGACATTCCTGACAACCGTGCCACAGAGCTGGCTGTCACCTCGAGTGAACAGTCCCCCTCCACCCTCTGCCAGACCTGAGACCACGTGCTCAGGCTGTGCAGGGCCCATGTCCTCAGTCCCCAGAAGGGGGTCCAGGCCGGTCCACCAGGGGGTCAGCAGGCCAGGTCCGCGGGGCCAACGCCAAGACCCTTCGTCGGGCCCCTGGCCTCTGGCGTCACGCCCAAGCACATGCCAAGAGAAGCTGGGGAGCTGGCCAAGCTCCCCGAGGCTCCTGGGAGGGACTTTCTCCAAGTCTGCAGGGCTTCCTGCCCCCCCCCGCCACGGGCTGCTGCCTGAGGACGGCCCCATCCCCCTCCCAGGGCCCCGCCAACAGCTGCCCCCAGAGGTGGCTAAACAGTGTCGGGGTCACCCAAGATCACCTCTCACGCCAAGGCCGGAACGCTGGCCGAGGTGGTGACAAGGTCCGTCCATAGTCAGCGACGGCAGCGTTGACAGGAAGCTGCAGGCTCAGACCCTGGTGCGGGTTCCCCCTCAGCCCCGGTGTCTGGAATGCGTGTGGGCGCCCCCACCACACTGGCACCCCCCCCACGCCCTCTCAGAACCGGGGCTCCCTGTGCTCGGTGGGGAGGAAGGTGGCCTCGGGCCCCGCAGCCCCCTAGCTGCCCTGCGCCCACTCCGGCCTCTGCCTCTCCCCTCGGCCCCCCGTGCAGCTCCACCTGGCTCCTCCTGAAGAACCCCACGTTCATCCTGCTGTGCCTGGCCGGGGCCACCGAGGCCACGCTCATCACCGGCATGTCCACATTTGGCCCCAAGTTCCTCGAGTCCCAGTTCAGCCTGAGTGCCTCAGACGCGGCCACCTTGTTCGGTGAGAAAGCTCCCCGAGCCTCAGGGGTCCCCTGCGCTTTCCTGTGTTCTCGGACATGCGACGGGGCTTTGAGAGCCGTGGGCAGCGCTGTGCCACGTGCGGTCCGGCCTGGGCAGGGACGGCGAGTGTCTGGGGCTCTTACACGAGGTGCCGCTGCTCACGGGCTGATGGTGTTTACGAGAGTGACTGTCCTTCCGTGTGCAGAGTGCTGACCGGTCTCTCCGGGGGCCCCGTGCCATGCTGCCCTCCTGGTGGGACGTGCTCCAGATCGGAGGGCTGGCAGGAGTGGGCTCCAGCTTGTCCGTGCCACCCGCTCGCCACCCGGGGCCCCTGCCTGTGCCGTCCCTGGCTCACTGTGGGAAGGGTTTGGGTGGTGGTGCCCCTGGGCACTTGGATCCCCGGTCCTGGCCATCCCCGTGAGCCAGCTGTCCAGTGTCCCACGGTCTCACAGACCATGAGGCTGGACCCCCTGGAGCTGCCCAACCACAGGTGCTCTGTGCCCAGGGCACGCTGGCCTCCCGGGAGAGTGAGGGCCCCTCAGCCCCCTCCCGCATGGGGCAGCTGGGGGCGGGAACGTGCCCGGCAGGAGGTGGGGGCCGCCATGGAACACCGGGTCGGTGTGTCTGTGCGGCACCCACCGACCCTGCCACATCCCCAGGGCCCCCCTGCGTGGGAGGCGGCCTCAGGTTAGGGCCCAGCCCCCCGTTCTCTGACTGGTGCCCGCAGACCCCACCCAGCAGCCGCCTCCCCGCCCCGCAGCGGCCCGTCCCTGCACCGACACCCCCTCCTGGAGCAGCCGTGTCCCCTGGGGTGCCCCCGCCACCCCCGGAGCTGGCTTCGGTCCCCGCTGAGGGGACGGGCCCTCCGAGCCTGGGACTGTGGGGTCGGCCCACTGCCTCTGGAGCCCTGTGCCCACTCACGTCGACCTCTCGGTGAATAGCCGTGGCCGCAGACGTCGAATGTCCCCTCAGCGCCCTTGATCTCTGCCGCCCCCGCCGCTACCCCGGCCCTGGGCCCCTCCGCTCGGGGCCTGGAGCCCTGAGCCCAGTGCTGCCTCGGACGAGGCCGTCTCTGCGCCTCAGTTCCTGCCTGGAAAGGGGGTGAGGGCCCCGCAGCCCTCTTGAGCCCCGGCTTCTCCTGCAGGGTACCTGGTGGTGCCGGCAGGCGGTGGTGGCACCTTCCTGGGCGGCTTCTTCGTGAACAGGCTCAAGCTCCGCGGCTCAGGCCTCGTCAAGTTCTGCCTGCTGTGCGCACTGACCAGCCTGCTGGCCACCCTGGTCTTCCTCACGCACTGCCCCAACGTGCCCATGGCAGGCGTGACGGCCAGCTACGGCCGGAGGTGAGGCCCCGGCGCCCCTGCCGGGCACGGCAGTTCCTGGGGTGGGGGAGGCCGGTGCCTGCAGCAGGACCACACCCTCGGGGGGCGTGCACCACACTGATTAGCGGCTCCCGCGTCACTGCCCCCGGGCTCCAGCCAGCTCTGAGCCTGTCTCCCCACCTGCGAAATGGGACGGCCGCTCAGCCCACGTCTGCGAGGTGACGCTGAAAGTGGCCGAGCATCGGCCCCGTGCGCCCCTGTCCTGGGAATGTGAGGGGAAAGGCCCGTCGGGTGTCGATCTGGGAGAATCTGAAATGGAAGCAAGGGACCGGTCCTGGGACCCCAGGGGGACCCCCCCCCCAGAATTTCTGGGAGGTGACAGCGAGGCTGCGAAGCAGAGACCGTGGCAGCTTTGTAGGAGAACCCGGACGGGAAGAACCTAAGAGCTGGCGGAGAGTGGCCTGGGTGACGGCCGCCGTCCCCACGCGGGGGGCTCTGCCAGCACGGAGGACGCTGGTGCTGGGGCCACCTCCAAGGTGGCTTTGAGCAGGGAGAAAAGAACACGCGTGTCTGCGATCGCTGACATGCAGCCGGGGCCAGGGCCAGAGGACCCGGCGGAGCCACGGGGCGGGGCACAGTGCCCTGTCCCCCTGCAATATCTCCCCTCGAGCCGTGTGAATCCAATGCCCGTCGTGAAAGCCAGCCAGCGGGTCGCGCGCCACACCTCTGGGGCGCAGCTGGGGCGGGTTTGCCTCGCCGTGACGCTCCCCAAGGACCCCGGGCGGGAGGCGGCAC